AAATGAGCAAGATAGTGGGTGGTCATGGTGTGGACAGACTAAAGTAGGTGAGGGGTGAGGGAATTGAACAGGACATTGCTGCGGGAGCAGGGCAGTCAAACCTGTTGTAGAACTGGTTGAGCTGGTTTGCTCTCACCACATCTCCTTCTACTATGCTGCTCTTCTTCTTGTAGCCTGTGATCATTTTCATTCCCTCCCAGACATCCTTCATGTTGTTCTCCTGCAACTTCTGCTCTACCTTCTTTCCATATTCTTCCTTTGCCACTTTCAGCTTTATCTTGAGTTCCCCCTGTACACACCTCAACTTCGCCTGATCGCCCTCCTTAAACGCCCTCTTCTTTTTATTGAGGAGGTCCTTGACATCACTGGTGATCCACGGTGATTTTACGGCGTACAGTTCTTGTGGGAACTACAATGTCCATACAGAAATTCAGATAGTCGGTAGTGCAGTTTGTAACTCCTTCAATATCATCGCCATATGATTCCTGGAGCACATTCCAATCTGTTGACTCAAAGCAGTCCCTCAGCGCCTCCTCCGCCTCAGGAGACCATTTCCTAAAGGAACGTATGGTGGTGGGTTGTCTGCGGACAAGTGGAATGTACTGTGGTCGTAGGAAGACCAGGTTATGATCTGATCTCCCCAGCGGTGGCAGTGGAGTGGCAGTGTATGCATCTTTGACACTAGCATACATAAGGTCGATTGTTCTGTTCTTTCGTGTAGGGCAATTAAAGGCACACTGTGGAACTTTTCAACCTTTATAATATATTAACAAAACCCATTGAGATGGTACATCGACTTACAATAGGTTGAATGACACGTCTGCCGAAGCCTGAAGGTGTCTGTATCGCTTTTACTAGCACTATGTAACTTCGAGTTTCGGGTAGGAACCTGAGCACAAAAAGAACTACAAAATTCGACCGCTTTACGGCATACGTCACTTCCCCCACCACCCCAACTTCCTCAGATTCTAACGTGAGAGCTCAACTCGCGTTTGATTTCTGGCGTCTGTATGTTGTCGTCATGGCTGAATCAACAGCTACTCGGAAGAAAGCGAAGAAAGCAAAGATTTTGTCAGAGGAGACCAAAAAAAAAGAAAAGGGGAGAGTGATAAACTAAAAGCAAGGACGAGAATAAACATTGGTCAAGCGTTCCCTCGCTGGCGTGCGATAAAGGAGGATGAGGGATTCCCGACCGATGCTGACCTGGCCGTCATGCTTTTGGACTAGTAAGTTAAATATATTGCTTGCACAATATCTTTTTTTTTTCAAATTTGTTCTCTGCCTGGCCATGTTACTGATTCTATATTGTCCTCCATTTAACTTAATGTAACAAGGAATGCTAGTAGAGTAAGTTAGCGAATTATCAATCTGGTAGCTAAATGTAAGTACAAATATAAATTTTATAAATATTGGGAAAGGTTTGCATTCAGCAGACACTTTATCCTCCGATTTTGAAACGAAACAGGGCTGCAACTTAACAACTAGCTACAGGCTTTGTTTAATTTGTATGCAATTCATCTGGTAGCAGACGTGGGAGGTTGACCGGTTGACTGTTTGTTGACTTTTGCGACAATGCTGCGGCGCTTGTGGCCTCTAGGGGCACTAGACGTGAAAATTACAGGTCGAGCGCACCCTAGTGGCCAAAAATTCCACAGTGTGCCTTTAACAAACTCATGAAAAGCAGACAGGGTTGAATCAAGTGTAACGTGATTCAAATCCCCTGAAATCGAAATGAAGGCTTCAGGGTGCCGAACCAGAAGCCCCGCAATAGTAGAGTGGATAACATCACATGCGGTTTCAGCCAGAGCACGTGGGGGGATGTAAACACAAACAACAATGACGTGCGATAACTCCCTTGGCATATAATACGGACGGAGACTCACCGCTAAAAGTTGAATGTCTGGGCAGCAGATAATTTCCTTCACCGTCACATGTCCTGGGTTGCACCATTTGGTGTTGACAAAGAGTGCAAGCCCCCCACCCTTGTTTTTGCCACTCAGTATAGGGTCTCTGTCCGCCCTCACAATTGAAAAACCAGTTAGCTCAACCCTAACGTCCGGGATATTACTTGTGAGGCATGTCTCCGTGAAGCAAAGTAGGCTGCATTCCCTGTACAACTTCACATTTCTCACCAAAGCAGCCATCTCATCTATCTTGTTAGCCAGTGAATTCACATTTCCCATCACACACGAAGGAATGGGCGGCTTAAACCTCCCTCGCTTCTCCATACGCTTAGCCTTGACTTTAACTCCCGCTCTGCATCCTCTGTGTCGTCGTTTTAATTCCTCCGGGATCGAGTGAAAAATGCCGACATGTCCCATTGCCCTCAATTCAAGCAGTTTTTCCCTCAAGTAAATGAGTTTTTTACCGTTGTGTTGCAGACTACTAATAGCCATATCCATAGGATATACAAATACCAACGCGATACGTAAAAGAAGTTATAAAAGACTAAAAACACACAACAAACGCAGCTACTGAAAACAGCTGCCACTCTCGGCGGCGCATGAGAAATGTAAAATTCTCATTAGTATTGTAAGAAAACACTCATTTTACCTGGTCAAAAACAGCTGTTTTCAGCACGCCGTTTCAGTGCATGTGCCTTTAATTGATGTTTTATTAACAAGGTTCGGGAGGAACACGTTCTAATGATCAAACAATCAAGTCATTCCAGCCAGCTGTCAGCAATCAGTAATCAACAGGTCCACTCAAACAGCACGAGTAAAGCCTATAAATATACTCAGTCGACTCACCCATATTCCTCGACAGTTTTCAGCATCCCTCCACCACCCCATCTCCTCACACTTGCCTAGTTATCTTCCTAAACAGAGATACGGGGGGAGTACTCTGGGTTCGGGCCCAATTTCCGAGCTCGGAGCCCTCCCCCCGGACAGCACGCCAAATACGCATAACCATCTATTCTCTGATCATTTGTAAGTGTGAACTCGTGAAATGATAATGAGCTTCGCTGACTCCGCCCCTCTGTTCTGTGGGCGTTTTGATAACGCACGAGTGTTGCCTTGACAACAGTTGAGGGGATATTTTGGAGAGAGAATGGCAGCGGGAGTCTCTGAGGACACATCTGTGCAACCGTATCAGTTTGAGCCGGAGTCGCACCCGGAACAAGATGGCGGCCGAAGAAGTTCGACAGTTAAGGCTCAAACAGGACTCGTATCTCAGTAGTGAGATACGAACGCTGTGTGTTTACTGATGTATACGTTAGTTCATTGACAGATTGACGTTACAGCTAATGGTCATGAAAAACTTTTTTTCGCGATTTGCAAAGATTAATATAAAGGTTAATAACACTTTACACTCACTTCTTCTGGAGGTGCAGCAGGGACACGAATAGTTGCCACCGATTCTGTTTTCATGAGCAGCTTCTTAGCAAATCCAGCTTTACACTGACCCTCGTTTATAAAGCAGTCTGCTGAGAAATGATTCGCGCACACATGAGAGCATTGACGTTGCTCGTGGGGAATATTCCCTTCGAAAACAAACTCAGCCACTGCGTCTTCAGCGGTTCGGATTTAGGAACATTAAAATGACTGTGTTCGTTATTACACCCAAGAACAGAACACCACAGTCGCTTAGACGCCATTCTGCTCATAGACAGTGCTCCAGCATATCAACACTAGCGGACTATGATGACCGCTCGCTTATTAACGAGGGCGGGTCTGTGTGAAACGCTGCTGTCAATCAACACTCGTGGGAGGGGCGTCCGATCATGTGACGTCATACGCTCAAACGGCTCGATTTGAGGCAGGGGAAAACATATAAGGAGATTAAAACAAAACCACTGGATGGATTTTTATCATTATATGATGGTTGTGTACAGGCACTGCCAACACACATTTCAGTACAATCAACTTGTAAAAGTGCATGTACCATTATATGACCCCTTTAAAGAAGAAGTGAAAGCACTGCATAAAAATGTAAAAGAAAGTCATAAATGTACTGTACTTAGTACAAAATATACACTACCAGTCAAATGTTTTGGATCGGTAAGATTTTTAATGTTTTTAAAAGAGTCTCTTCTGCTCACCAAGGCTCTGTTTATTTGATTAAAAATACAACAAAAAAGTAATATTGGGAAATATTATTAAAATTTTCAATTTTTATTTCTGTTTTCTATCTGAATATATAGTAGTGTAAGACATTTATAATGTTACAAAAGATTCTATTTCAGATAAATGCTGTTGTTTTGAACTTTCTATTCATTAAAGAATCCTGATAGAAATTGTACACAACTGATTTCAACACTGATAATAATATCATAAATATAATCATAAATGTTTCTTGAGCATCAGATCCTCATATTAGAGTGATTTCTGAAGGATCATGTGACACTGAAGACTGGAGTAATGATGCTGAAATTCAGCTTTGATCACAGGAATAAATGACACTTTACTGTATATTCACATAGAGAACAGCTGATTTACACTGGAGTAATTTACACAATATTACTTTTTGGTTGTATTTTTAATCAAATAAATGCAGCTTTGGTGAGCAGAAGAGACTCTTTTTTTAACTGGTAGTGTATATATATTTTACAAAATAATTTGGACTGAATTGCTATAAACTCAGAGCCGTGTGTCTAACCAAGTTGTGTCCAAATTTGCAGTTAATATCACACTAATAACAGTTGTGTTCAGTGACTCTGCTCTTGATCGACTCGAGGATAAACTGCAGACCGTCCGTCGCCTTCGGCTTAGTCTGGCTTAGTTGGAGACATTGATTCTAATATTCAACAATATTATTGATCTCCTGCATTGACAGCTTTATATGAGAGCTGAACTGAGCTGGACAATGACATCACAGTTTACTCCAGAGCGGATATATATATATATATGAATAACTTTAAGCTGGACTGTGACGCTATTCTCTTCTAGACACAAACTGTTGCATTATTGTCCTGTAATCTCTGTGAAGCTCCTCTGAAACACTCTGTGTGTGAATGAAGGACACCTGATACATGTGTGTGTGTGTGTGTATGTGTGTACCTTGTGTCCGTCGTCAGTGATGACAGCGACAGCGTTGGGAACGATCTTAGCGGTGTGTTTCTTCTTTATAGTCAGAACGCTGGAGATGTGGATCATCACCTACAGGAACACATTTGATTATTTTATTTGGAATGACCAATACTGATTAAACAACACAGCATCCAAATATTCACAAAGAGCCTGTTATGTTTCACCTGACAATACACACATCCACAATACACACATCCACAATACACACATCCACAATACACACATCGACATGATTTCTATTACACGGTTTCCATCATGCTGATTTGTACTCGGCTTTCGCCAAGATAAGCAAAACTAAGATGTAGCTTTACAGTAAACTATGCTTCTCCATCCATTTACGCTTCTTTCCATCTGGTGGTGTGACTCCCCTTCTGTCCGGCGTTAACGGCTGCAGTGTACTTGGCGCATCAGCACACACGACGACTGCAACTACAGGACCAGCACGACAACCGTCTGGATTGAGCCGAGTAGGGGACATCTCTAGGGTCTTCAAGTGGGCACCTTCCGTCCTCAGTGTAGCGTGGCGGCCTGCACACAGCCAGCCAGAATCTTTCCGTCTCAACCACAGCCAGTTGCTGCTCCTCTCTGCTGCTTCAGATAAGTTCTTTACTGTGCGACGCAACTCTTGGCCGCTGAATCCGACGTCTCTGAGGAACCGGGTTGTAGAGTGTGCCACAAAACCTCGACAACCCACTTCCACTGGATAAACCTGGACTCTCCATCCTCGCTGTTCTGCTTCAGTGGCCAGATGAGCATACCGCAGTTTCTTCCTCTCATATGCCTCATCTACCGCATCCTCCCATGGCACTGTTAACTCTATCAGTTGAACAATGCGTGCTGATCCAGACCACAAAACAATATCTGGTCGGAGGTTAGTGGTGGCAATCTCAGGTGGAAAAATAAGCCGTTGGTCAAGATCAGCCAGCATCTTCCAGTCCCCAGCAGCTTCCAGTTGTCCTGGGCGAGAATTGGTGTTAACACCTTTTCTTGGTGGTTGCTCGCCTGGGCGGAGGAATATTGTCTTCTGCGTGTAATGTTTTGCTAGAACAGGTAGCAACTTATTAGTCATGTTACGCTTGCCTTCCAATGCTAAAGCCAAACATCGCAGTACTTGGTCATGGCGCCAAGTAAACCGACCTTGGCTAAGAGCCACCTTACATCCTGTCAAAATGTGCCTTAATGTGGCAGGTGATGAACACAAAGGACAAGAGGGATCCTCTCCTACCCAGAGGTTTAGGTTCTGCGGTGATGGGAGAACATCATATGTTGACCTAATAAGGAAACTGATCCTACTCTCTTCCATTGACCAAAGGTCTTGCCAGCCCATCTTGCGTTGTTCCACACTCTCCCATCTCATCCACTCTCCCTGCTTGGCCTGGGAAATGGCCTTTATACACCTCATCCTCTCCTCCTGCTGTCGCACCTCGTTGACTACCAGCTTCCTCCTTTGAGCTGGGCCTGCCTTGTGCCATTTAGGAGGAGCTAAACTGAGCCCAAAACCCCCTCTTCCATGCTGTACCTGTCCCACGATATCCCCAATTTGAAGGTCAGCCTTTGCCTCTCCCACAGATTTCTTTGCTGACCACTTTCTACCAGTTTTTAACACAGGGGCTGCCTCCCTTACACATTTGTCTCGTGACTCTACTAAGGTCATTTCCAGTCTGACCTTGGCACTCTTGAACTCCTCGGGGTAAAGCAGAGACTGGCAGCTGCAATATTCCTTTACTATAAAGTAAAAGTCTACTGAGGCAGCGTGGAACTCCCAACCATTTCCTGATGTATGAACTTATCAACGCTTCCAGCTTATCCACTGTTGTCAAAGAAACGTCGTACACGGTCAGTGGCCACAGCAACCTCGGCAGTTGACCAAACTGAAAGCACCAGAGTTTTAGTTTGCCTGGTAGAGCACAGCTGTTTATGCTCTTCAACCCTTCCACTGCTTGTCGTCTAACTTCTCCCACCCGAACTGTGTCCTCTAGATCCCCATCGTACCATCTCCCAAGACTCTTCACTGGCTTCTCAGAAACTGTTGGTATTGCCTCACCATTAATGAAGAATGTTTTATCTACTACCTTTCCTTTAACTATCGAGATGCTCCTTGATTTAGAGGGCTTAAATTGCATTCGTGCCCATTCAATATTATCTGTTAACTTCCCCAATAACCGATGTGGTGAGCAGGACGGCCGAGGGACGTGAGAGAACGTCGCGAGGCCGGTGGTGCGATTGCTAATGAGCAGCACCTGGGAAGCACACCGGTCTCGCATCTCTCACGGAGGAGCGGAAGCATAAAGGAGGAGCGACGGAGTGGATGATCGAGAGAGGAACAGGCCTGCTTTTGTTTGTGTTTTATTTTATTTTATTTTGGTAGCCAGCAGTTCCGTGAGGGACTGCTGGCAGGTATTGTGTTTATTTCATTTAAATAAAGTTTTAATTTGATTGTCCGCCGGTTCCCGCCTCCTTCTTCCCTGAACATTGCTACAACCGATTAGTGCAGGCTACTGTTGTAGTCATGGTTGTCATGTCATCCATGTATGCTCTGATTGGTGGTAGTCGCATCCCAGAAGCCAAGCGCTCTCCTCCTACTACCCATCTTGATGCCCTCATGATTACTTCCATTGCCATGGTAAAAGCCAGTGTAGAAATGGTGCATCCTGCCATTATTCCAACCTCTAGGCATTGCTATGCAGTGCTGAATTTTGGAGTTGAGAAACTGAATTGCAAATCTCCAAAATAGGCTTTCACTAAATTTACACATCGACAATAGTCACAACCACATGAATATATAAATAAATAGACTATGGATAGAGGTGACATCGCCTTTTCCAAACATGCAGACTGCCTATGATTGCTGACACACACACACACACACACACACACACATACACACACACTGCCTATGATTGCTGACACACACACACACACACACACACACACTGCCTATGATTGCTGACACACACACACACACACACACACACTGCCTATGATTGCTGACACACACACACACACACACACACACACACACTGACACAGAACAGTATTTGGCTGTTTGCTTAGAGATCTTTTTACTCAGCCCAGCAGTTTGCAAACCCCTGACGCATAATCTGTGCACATGTCCTAAACTACCAAAGATTAGGATGATCAGTTTTGTGCTGTAACACACACACACACACACACACACACGTCTCCCGCATCCAAACACGACAGACCGTTCTCTCAGTCTAAAACACAAGCGTTGGTAACACTTTACTTGAAGGGGTGTGCATAAGACTGACATGACACCTTCATAACCATGACATGACACATGTCATGAATATGAAGGAGGGTTTATGCATGTTTATGACAACTGTCATTAAGTGTCATTCGCTCAATTATGACATTTTTAATGCAAATATGACATTGTTTGAGATGTATTTGTTATGACAACTTGACATAAACCAATACATCATAATCTCTCAGTGTCTTGGTCATGACAACTTGACATTACTAAGACAACATAAATTGTCATAAATATGTCATAAACATGACATAGCAGATTAATTATCAAACTTAAGAAACCACTTAGCTTTATGGGTTATCATTACATTAAACTGTCATGTGGTTGGTTTTGACATTGGCTGTCATGAGGCATTATAACTATGTTATGAATATGTTTCTTGACCTCAACTACAGTAATGCACATTGAATTTGTCATTAACATGTTATAAAGGCCTCATGACAGCCAATGTCAAAACCAACCACCTGACGTTTAATGTAATGTTAACCCATAAAGCTAAGTGCTTTCTTAAGTTTCATAATCAATCTGCTATAGCATGTTTCAAATTGCAAATTCACTTTATAAAAGACCCACATTTCTAAATTTCATTCATGGGGATCTTTTGGAAAATGCAGATTTAAAAGTAAAAAATGATCACTTTAACCAGTAGGTGGCTGCAGAGCTCCACTATTCGCTACTTGTCTAACTAAAAGACATCTTTTCACAAGTTTTTCGAGTTGGATTCATATCTACATATTATGAAATCACAAAATTAAATAATTAGAAATTATTACAATAAAAGTTACTTTTTGTCAAAGTTTAGTAGTTTTTGTACTGAAAAAAAACCCGGTTGTGTTTTCTTATTCAAGAGGTTATGCAGCTTTATTGGGTTTGCATCGAATGTTCTTCGACTTTTATACATAATACATTCGTTTATGAATAAAGATTGATCTGTTGAAAGCAGTTATTTTGAGTTAGATGCCAAATGTTCTCCTCCTATTTAAATTTGACATTGAGGGGGTGCACACATTAGCCCACCGTTCAAATACGATTTTCAAGAAAGAAAAACAAAAACCTGGGGAAAATAAATGCAGAACATGTTCACATAGGACACTATTAACACGACTATATGCATGAAACCATTCAGAAAAATTTGGGCACAAATGGGTTAAAGCCGTATGCAAGAATTATCATATATTAATCGCTTTTGTATTGTTGATGTGTGACCAGCTTCTAGTGAAACACGAAATGAATGATAATAATGAAAGCTGTTCTGCACTGTAATGTCAATGTGCAATGCAAAGAAAAGAGATTCATTCAAACTATAGTCGGATCTATATAGTCTATAGTCTCAAATATACTTTATAATCAATTGATCATAACAGTGTAATTTTAATGAGCTCATCGTTCGACATGTTGCAGATCTCTATGATCAGATGCTTTCTGAACGGCTGCTTTCTCATTCTCGCTGTGTTTGTTTTGTATTGAGAGGAAAGAGCAGCACATATTTACATATTGATCTAAACGTCTCTCAGAAGCCTGGACGGGGTTACCCGTATTACACTGCAAAGGTGTTTCCAACTTCTACTTCTAAGTGAAGAACGAACGAGCCCTTCTCTGTGAGTATTTCAGCGCATTGAATCGCGTCACAAGTGTTCCCGCAGTTCACCGAACGGCCACCGGTGTCGCTATAACAAGGGTTTATGAATTATACATACAGCCCCTTTAACATTCGCATTACCAAGAAAAATGCTTTTAAAAGACTTAAAAAATTGGACGTTTCAGAAAACATTCAGACATAATGTTCATAACATTCGTAAAATATGTTTTTGTTTGCTAGGTTTCTACATGCCGTTAGCAGCCGGATCTCATGACAGTGTGTATCTATAGCACCAATTGTATTTATCGTGCAATTTATACGCAAAAAATAGTTTTTACGTGCATATGATACGCAGTTTTCGAGTGCGTATGCAGATGCTACACACTTTATGGCGTGTAATATGCAGACACTCCACACCACTAATTTAATTTACAGTGTAGGCTATATATGCACAAAAAACTATTTTTGGCTTATAAATTGGACGATAAATACAACTAGTGCTGTAGATCCGCATTTCCACGAGATGGTGTTGGCTGTGTGTTCTCCATGAGCGTTTGTAGACTTCGCTCACCTTGGTGTCCTTGAGCAGCACAGACGAGTGGAAGCAGATGTGCTGACGCGACACGTACATCTTTCCGTGGTAAAGCACCTCCTTATGCAGAGCACAGGTGAACACTGCAACACAGGGGACCAGCTCCACGTTACAGCAAACTCATTTACTGCAGACATGAAGACTGTGTTCCTGAACTCACCGTGCTCCAGATCCTCCGGGATCTCAGGGAAGAGCTTGCGGAAGGTTCTGCTGTGGTTCTTGAAACTCTGAGCAAAAGAGCAGAAGTTGCAGACAACTGTGTGTGTACACGTGTTCATGGACTCGAGAACAGATGGAGTGATGAAGAGATGAAGAGATGAGGAGATGTAGAGATGTAGAGATGAAGAGATGGAGTGATGAAGAGATGGAGTGATGAAGAGATGGAATGATGTGGAGATGAAGAGATGAGGAGATGTGGAGATGAAGAGATGGAGTGATGAAGAGATGGAGTGATGAAGAGATGAAGAGATGAGGAGATGTGGAGATGAAGAGATGGAGTGATGAAAAGATGGAGTGATGAAGAGATGGAGAGATGAGGAGATGTGGAGATGAAGAGATGGAGTGATGAAGAGATGGAGTGATGAAGAGATGAAGAGATGGAGTGATGAAGAGATGGAGTGATGGAGAGATGGAGTGATGAAGAGATGAGGAGATGGAGTGATGAAGAGATGTGGAGATGAAGAGATGGAGCGATGAAGAGATGGAGTGATAAAGAGATGGAGAGATGAAGAGATGGAGAGATGAAGAGATGAAGAGATGGAGAGATGAAGAGATGAGGAGATGGAGTGATGAAGAGATGGAGAGATGAGGAGATGGAGTGATGAAGAGATGTGGAGATGAAGAGATGGAGAGATGGAGTGATGCGGAGATGGAGTGATGAGGAGATGGAGAGATGAAGAGATGTGGAGATGGAGTGATGAAGAGATGTGGAGATGGAGTGATGAAGAGATGGAGTGATGAAGAGATGGAGAGATGGAATGATGAAGAGATGAGGAGATGGAGAGATGAAGAGATGTGGAGATGGAGTGATGAAGAGATGTGGATATGGAGTGATGAAGAGATGTGGAGATGGAGTGATGGAGTGATCAGGAGATGGAGTGATGAGGAGATGGAGTGATGAGGAGATGGAGTGATGAAGAGATGGAGAGATGGAGAGATGAAGAGATGGAGTGATGAAGAGATGGAGTGATGAAGAGATGGAATGATGAAGAGATGGAGAGATGAAGAGATGGAGAGATGGAGTGATGAAGAGATGGAGTGATGAGGAGATGGAATGATGAAGAGATGGAGAGATGGAGTGATGAAGAGATGGAGTGATGGAGTGATGAAGAGATGGAGTGATGAGGAGATGGAGTGATGAGGAGATGGAGTGATGAGGAGATGGAGTGATGAGGAGATGGAGTGATGAAGAGATGTGGAGATGGAGTGATGAAGAGATGTGGAGATGGAGTGATGAAGAGATGTGGAGATGGAGTGATGAAGAGATGGAGTGATGAAGAGATGGAGTGATGAGGAGATGGAGTGATGAGGAGATGGAGTGATGAAGAGATGTGGAGATGAAGAGATGGAGTGATGAGGAGATGGAGTGATGAAGAGATGTGGAGGTGGAGTGATGAAGAGATGTGGAGATGGAGTGATGAAGAGATGTGGAGATGGAGTGATGAAGAGATGGAGAGATGAAGAGATGGAGTGATGAGGAGATGGAGTGATGAAGAGATGGAGAGATGAAGAGATGGAGTGATGAAGAGATGGAGAGATGAAGAGATGGAGTGATGAAGAGATGGAGTGATGAGGAGATGGAATGATGAAGAGATGGAGAGATTGAGTGATGAAGAGATGGAGTGATGAGGAGATGGAGTGATGAAGAGATGGAGTGATGAAGAGATGAAGAGATGGAGTGATGAGGAGATGGAGTGATGAGGAGATGGAGTGATGAGGAGATGGAATGATGAAGAGATGGAGAGATGGAGTGATGAAGAGATGGAGTGATGAAGAGATGAGGAGATGGAGTGATGAAGAGATGAGGAGATGGAGTGATGAAGAGATGAGGAGATGGAGTGATGAAGAGATGAGGAGATGGAGTGATGAAGAGATGAGGAGATGTGGAGATGGAGTGATGAGGAGATGGAGTGATGAGGAGATGGAGTGATGAAGAGATGAAGAGATGAAGAGATGGAGAGATGAAGAGATGGAGTGATGAAGAGATGGAGTGATGAAGAGATGGAGAGATGAAGAGATGGAGTGATGAAGAGATGGAGAGATGAAGAGATGGAGTGATGAAGAGATGGAGAGATGAAGAGATGGAGTGATGAAGAGATGGAGAGATGAAGAGATGGAGTGATGAAGAGATGGAGAGATGAAGAGATGGAGAGATGAAGAGATGGAGTGATGAAGAGATGGAGAGATGAAGAGATGGAGAGATGAAGAGATGGAGAGATGAAGAGATGGAGAGATGAAGAGATGGAGTGATGAAGAGATGGAGAGATGAAGAGATGGAGAGATGAAGAGATGGAGTGATGAAGAGATGGAGAGATGAAGAGATGGAGAGATGAAGAGATGGAGTGATGAAGAGATGGAGAGATGAAGAGATGGAGAGATGAAGAGATGGAGTGATGAAGAGATGGAGAGATGAAGAGATGGAGTGATGAAGAGATGAAGAGATGGAGAGATGAAGAGATTGAGTGATGAGGAGATGGAGTGATGAAGAGATGGAGAGATGAAGAGATGGAGAGATGGAGTGATGAAGAGATGGAGTGATGAAGAGATGGAGAGATGAAGAGATGGAGAGATGGAGTGATGAAGAGATGGAGAGATGGAGAGATGAAGAGATGGAGAGATGAAGAGATGGAGTGATGAAGAGATGGAGTGATGAAGAGATGAAGAGATGGAGGGATGAGGAGATGGAGTGATGAAGAGATGGAGTGATGAGGAGATGGAGAGATGAAGAGATGGAGTGATGAAGAGATGGAGAGATGAAGAGATGGAGTGATGAAGAGATGGAGAGATGAAGAGATGGAGTGATGAGGAGATGGAGAGATGAAGAGATGGAGAGATGAAGAGATGGAGTGATGAGGAGATGGAGTGATGAGGAGATGGAGTGATGAGGAGATGGAGAGATGAAGAGATGGAGAGATGAAGAGATGGAGAGATGAAGAGATGGAGTGATGAGGAGATGGAGTGATGAAGAGATGTGGAGATGAAGAGATGGAGAGATGGAGTGATGAGGAGATGGAGTGATGAGGAGATGGAGAGATGAAGAGATGTGGAGATGGAGTGATGAAAAGATGTGGAGATGGAGTGATGAAGAGATGGAGTGATGAAGAGATGGAGAGATGGAATGATGAAGAGATGAGGAGATGGAGAGATGAAGAGATGTGGAGATGGAGTGATGAAGAGATGTGGGGATGGAGTGATGAAGAGATGTGGAGATGGAGTGATGAGGAGATGGAGTGATGAGGAGATGGAGTGATGAAGAGATGAAGAGATGGAGTGATGAAGAGATGGAGTGATGAGGAGATGGAGTGATGAAGAGATGGAATGATGAAGAGATGGAGAGATGAAGAGATGGAGAGATGGAGTGATGAAGAGATGGAGTGATGAGGAGATGGAATGATGAAGAGATGGAGAGATGGAGTGATGAAGAGATGGAGTGATGAAGAGATGGAGTGATGGAGTGATGAAGAGATGGAGTGATGAAGAGATGGAGAGATGAAGAGATGAAGAGATGGAATGATGTAGAGATGGAGTGATGAGGAGATGGAATGATGAGGAGATGGAGTGATGAGGAGATGGAGTGATGAAGAGATGGAGAGATGGAGAGATGAAGAGATGGAGTGATGAAGAGATGGAGTGATGAAGAGATGGAATGATGAAGAGATGGAGAGATGAAGAGATGGAGAGATGGAGTGATGAAGAGATGGAGTGATGAGGAGATGGAATGATGAAGAGATGGAGAGATGGAGTGATGAAGAGATGGAGTGATGGAGTGATGAAGAGATGGAGTGATGAGGAGATGGAGTGATGAGGAGATGGAGTGATGAGGAGATGGAGTGATGAGGAGATGGAGTGATGAAGAGATGTGGAGATGGAGTGATGAAGAGATGTGGAGATGGAGTGATGAAGAGATGTGGAGATGGAGTGATGAAGAGATGGAGTGATGAAGAGATGGAGTGATGAGGAGATGGAGTGATGAGGAGATGGAGTGATGAAGAGATGTGGAGGTGGAGTGATGAAGAGATGTGGAGATGGAGTGATGAAGAGATGTGGAGATGGAGTGATGAAGAGATGGAGAGATGAAGAGATGGAGTGATGAGGAGATGGAGTGATGAAGAGATGGAGAGATGAAGAGATGGAGTGATGAGGAGATGGAGTGATGAAGAGATGGAGAGATGAAGAGATGGAGTGATGAAGAGATGGAGAGATGAAGAGATGGAGTGATGAAGAGATGGAGTGATGAGGAGATGGAATGATGAAGAGATGGAGAGATTGAGTGATGAAGAGATGGAGTGATGAGGAGATGGAGTGATGAAGAGATGGAGTGATGAAGAGATGAAGAGATGGAGTGATGAGGAGATGGAGTGATGAGGAGATGGAGTGATGAGGAGATGGAATGATGAAGAGATGGAGAGATGGAGTGATGAAGAGATGGAGTGATGAAGAGATGAGGAGATGGAGTGATGAAGAGATGAGGAGATGGAGTGATGAAGAGATGAGGAGATGGAGTGATGAAGAGATGAGGAGATGGAGTGATGAAGAGATGAGGAGATGTGGAGATGGAGTGATGAGGAGATGGAGTGATGAGGAGATGGAGTGATGAAGAGATGAAGAGATGAAGAGATGGAGAGATGAAGAGATGAAGAGATGGAGTGATGAAGAGATGGAGTGATGAAGAGATGGAGAGATGAAGAGATGGAGTGATGAAGAGATGGAGAGATGAAGAGATGGAGTGATGAAGAGATGGAGAGATGAAGAGATGGAGTGATGAAGAGATGGAGAGATGAAGAGATGGAGTGATGAAGAGATGGAGAGATGAAGAGATGGAGAGATGAAGAGATGGAGTGATGAAGAGATGGAGAGATGAAGAGATGGAGAGATGAAGAGATGGAGAGATGAAGAGATGGAGAGATGAAGAGATGGAGTGATGAAGAGATGGAGAGATGAAGAGATGGAGAGATGAAGAGATGGAGTGATGAAGAGATGGAGAGATGAAGAGATGGAGAGATGAAGAGATGGAGTGATGAAGAGATGGAGAGATGAAGAGATGGAGAGATGAAGAGATGGAGTGATGAAGAGATGGAGAGATGAAGAGATGGAGTGATGAAGAGATGAAGAGATGGAGAGATGAAGAGATTGAGTGATGAGGAGATGGAGTGATGAAGAGATGGAGAGATGAAGAGATGGAGAGATGGAGTGATGAAGAGATGGAGTGATGAAGAGATGGAGAGATGAAGAGATGGAGAGATGGAGTGATGAAGAGATGGAGAGATGGAGAGATGAGGAGATGGAGAGATGAAGAGATGGAGTGATGAAGAGATGGAGTGATGAAGAGATGAAGAGATGGAGGGATGAGGAGATGGAGTGATGAAGAGATGGAGTGATGAGGAGATGGAGAGATGAAGAGATGGAGTGATGAAGAGATGGAGAGATGAAGAGATGGAGTGATGAAGAGATGGAGAGATGAAGAGATGGAGTGATGAGGAGATGGAGAGATGAAGAGATGGAGAGATGAAGAGATGGAGTGATGAGGAGATGGAGTGATGAGGAGATGGAGAGATGAAGAGATGGAGAGATGAAGAGATGGAGAGATGAAGAGATGGAGTGATGAGGAGATGGAGTGATGAAGAGATGTGGAGATGAAGAGATGGAGAGATGGAGTGATGAGGAGATGGAGTGATGAGGAGATGGAGAGATGAAGAGATGTGGAGATGGAGTGATGAAGAGATGTGGAGATGGAGTGATGAAGAGATGGAGTGATGAAGAGATGGAGAGATGGAATGATGAAGAGATGAGGAGATGGAGAGATGAAGAGATGTGGAGATGGAGTGATGAAGAGAGGTGGGGATGGAGTGATGAAGAGATGTGGACATGGAGTGATGAGGAGATGGAGTGATGAGGAGATGGAGTGATGAAGAGATGAAGAGATGGAGTGATGAAGAGATGGAGTGATGAGGAGATGGAGTGATGAAGAGATGGAATGATGAAGAGATGGAGAGATGAAGAGATGGAGAGATGGAGTGATGAAGAGATGGAGTGATGAGGAGATGGAATGATGAAGAGATGGAGAGATGGAGTGATGAAGAGATGGAGTGATGAAGAGATGGAGTGATGGAGTGATGAAGAGATGGAGTGATGAAGAGATGGAGAGATGAAGAGATGAAGAGATGGAATGATGTAGAGATGGAGTGATGAGGAGATGGAATGATGAAGAGATGGAGAGATGAAGAGATGGAGTGATGAAGAGATGGAGTGATGAGGAGATGGAGAGATGGAGTGATGGAATGATGAAGAGATGGAGAGATGAAGAGATGGAGAGATGGAGTGATGAAGAGATGGAGTGATGAGGAGATGGAGTGATGAAGAGATGGAGAGATGAAGAGATGGAGAGATGAAGAGATGGAGTGATGAAGAGATGGAGAGATGAAGAGATGGAGTGATGAGGAGATGGAATGATGAAGAGATGGAGAGATGAAGAGATGGAGTGATGAGGAGATGGAGTGATGAAGAGATGGAGTGATGAAGAGATGGAGAGATGAAGAGATGGAGTGATGAAGAGATGGAGAGATGAAGAGATGGAGTGATGAAGAGATGGAGTGATGAAGAGATGGAGAGATGAAGAGATGGAGAGATGAAGAGATGGAGAGATGAAGAGATGGAGTGATGAGGAGATGGAATGATGAAGAGATGGAGAGATGAAGAGATGGAGTGATGAGGAGATGGAGTGATGAAGAGATGGAGTGATGAAGAGATGGAGTGATGAAGAGATGGAGAGATGAAGAGATGGAGTGATGAAGAGATGGAGAGATGAAGAGATGGAGTGATGAAGAGATGGAGTGATGAAGAGATGGAGAGATGAAGAGATGGAGTGATGAAGAGATGGAGTGATGAAGAGATGGAGTGATGAAGAGATGGAGAGATGAAGAGATGGAGTGATGAAGAGATGGAGAGATGAAGAGATGGAGTGATGAAGAGATGGAGAGATGAAGAGATGGAGTGATGAAGAGATGGAGTGATGAAGAGATGGAGTGATGAAGAGATGGAGAGATGAAGAGATGGAGAGATGAAGAGATGAAGAGATGGAGTGATGAAGAGATGGAGTGATGAAGAGATGGAGTGATGAAGAGATGGAGTGATGAAGAGATGGAGAGATGAAGAGATGGAGAGATGAAGAGATGGAGAGATGAAGAGATGAAGAGATGGAGAGATGAAGAGATGGAGAAATGAAGAGATGGAGTGATGAAGAGATGGAGTGATGAGGAGATGGAGAGATGAAGAGATGGAGAGATGAAGAGATGAAGAGATGGAGAGATGAAGAGATGGAGTGATGAAGAGATGGAGAGATGAAGAGATGGAGAGATGAAGAGATGGAGAGATGAAGAGATGGAGAGATGAAGAGATGAAGAGATGGAGAGATGAAGAGATGGAGTGATGAAGAGATGGAGTGATGAAGAGATGGAGTGATGAAGAGATGGAGTGATGAAGAGATGGAGTGATGAAGAGATGGAGTGATGAAGAGATGGAGAGATGAAGAGATGGAGAGATGAAGAGATGGAGAGATGAAGAGATGAAGAGATGGAGAGATGGAGAGATGGAGTGATGAAGAGATGGAGTGATGAAGAGATGAAGAGATGGAGTGATGAGGAGATGGAGTGATGAAGAGATGGAGTGATGAAGAGATGGAGAGATGAAGAGATGGAGAGATGAAGAGATGGAGTGATGAAGAGATGGAGTGATGAAGAGATGGAGTGATGAAGAGATGGAGTGATGAAGAGATGGAGAGATGAAGAGATGAGGAATAAACTCACGTTGTGAACGCTGAATCTGGTCCGGCCCTCCTCCTCGATGATCGTGGATCTGACGGACAGGAGATCATCATCATCATCATTATCATCATCATCTTCATCTTCATCATCATCATCACCGTAATAAAGATCATGAAGCCCATGACCAGATCAGGTCCGGTTACTGGACACAACAGCGACCGCGGTGACGAGGCAGAGCCATAGAGAGGAAGAGTTGCGACACGCTCTGATGTCGCCGCGGCGGCTGTCACGTGGTTCATGTAAACCCAATAGTTCCACAACACACGCGGGCTGTCATGTTCTGCTATGGACAGACAGCAGCGATTGCATTATTAAACGGTAAATATAAAATAAAACACACACCCAAGTACTTTTCAGCTGTTATTGCATTTTGTTAATGCCAGTTTTGCATTTGGAGAGGCAGGGTGACAACTTAGATAAGTTTTAGGCTATATTTTTGGAGGGAAAAGCTTAGTGTTCATGTTCGCATGGGTATAGCACTGGCTTTAGCGGCTCTAACTTAACTTTTCCATGTCATTCATCTGATGATGGACGTCTCATGATATTTATTTCAGCACAACTGGGCTGTATTAGGCTATTGATTCCCGTGATCTTGCTTATATATTCCGCTTCAGCCATTAGCCTTCGTGATCACGCAGAGGTCTGCCGTCCGTTCAGAACTCCAACCAACACAACATATAAATAATTACGCTGTGCATGTACAAATGAATGATTTAGGAGGGAAATAGACTGCTCCCATAACGTAGAAAGCAACGACTATATACAGCAATGTTCGGCAAATATTCAACCGAAAAATATTCTTCATAAAATTAAACCGGAGAGATAGTTAATGAGTGAATTAACTATGTTCCTAAATACATATAAGCACATATATGCATAACCCTAACCCATTTAAATAAATGAATTGTGTGTGTGTATGTATATATAATGTTATAGGCTTTATATATATATACATATAAAATGTTATTAAAAATATTATATATTATATACATCAGTTACCGTAAGGTAGCTAACGTTAGTGAAGTGTTGGTCACGTAAGCTATAGCTGCAATTAACCTATTATCTTCCAATAAACATTTACTAAAACTGGCTACATTAAATATAACTACAGACTAGATTCACGAGAGGTCGGCTAATGTGTGTAAAAGTAAAAAAATACAGTAATTTCATTAATTTACCAGCGAGCGTACTTCGGAAGCACTAAATGAATGGGGTTCAGTGCTGGAACTATCGGCCGCTCCACGACACGCGTTACTTCCTCACTCCAGAGTTCCTGTGGCGGCCTATGGGAGTCTCTCTCTCTATGGCTCTGGGGCAGGACATTGGCCCTGTCCCAAATGGCACACTCCGGACTTGTGCACTTCCTCAGAGTCCACACTTCGGTGACATCATGTAGTGCAGACCTATAGGGCCCTTATTGAGAGGTGTTTTTGGGACAGACTCGATCGTCCCGCCGGAAACAGGAAGACGGTCTGGTTGTTGTTATGGACAGGAGCGACAGGTTCGGGGAAATATGCCGCCTTTTGTTGTGGTGTTTACATGTGACTCAGTAAAGCCCTGACATTCTGTTCTATTTATTTAATGAATCATAATGATCGTGTTATTCAGCTCGCTGTTATTAGCCTATGTTTGAGACATCAACCACTGGTCGATGATCATAATGTTTGAATAAACTTGTCATAAAAACCGTAATGATAATTACACTTAAATATTTTCTTCTCAGACATGTTAATTAACAATTGTCCGTGAGCGAAATCTCCTCCCATCCGTCGTCTGATTGGCCTTCCGCAAGGATTCCTGGGTAGTTAAAGTGCGTGGAGCCTGCATCTATGTGGGCTTCGTGGAAGACCGCTTCAAGGGTACACAGGGGGCGCTGCTGAGCACACTTCAGAGCGTTAACATGCTAAATGGGACGGCCTACGGACTCGTAGACTCAGCGAGCCGCGTAATTTAAGTCCCCGAGACCGAAAGTCCGCATGAAGTGCGCCATTTGGGACAGGGCCTAAGTTGTCTAATGGCGCTTTTCCACTGCTGGTACGGCTCGGTTCGGCTCGGTTCGGCTCGGTACGGTTCAACTCGGCGCGGAACGGTTCGGCTCGCTTCGCTTTTCCACTGCTGGTACGGCTCGGTTCGGCTCGGTTCGGCTCGGTTCGGCTCGGTACGGCTCGGTTCGGCTCGGTACGGCTCGGTTCGGCTCGGTACGGTTCGGCTCGCTTCGCTTTTCCACTGCTGGTTCGGCTCGGTACGGTTCGGCTCGCTTCGCTTTTCCACTGCTGGTTCGGCTCGGTACGGCTCGGTTCGGCTCGGTACGGTTCGGCTCGCTTCGCTTTTCCACTGCTGGTTCGGCTCGGTTCGGCTCGGTTCGGCTCGGTTCGGCTCGCTTCGCTTTTCCACTGCTGGTTCGGCTCGGTTCGGCTCGGTTCGGCTCGGTACGGTTCGGCTCGCTTCGCTTTTCCACTGCGTGGTACGACTCGACTCGGTACGGCACGGTTCGGTTCGCTTTAGCTCGGTTGCTTTTCCACCGCAGTAGTACCCCTTCAAAGTGGGTGGGACTGATCGTTATTTTGTCCCTACACTGTTTAGGTCCGGTGATAGCCGTGTGCGGCTAAGAGCTGAGCTACTTCTTGGAACACTTTTTCATTCCGGTTTGCCCCATCCACTCATCCACATCCGCTCCTCGGCAACCAACGAGAGGAACGTCTGCACCTCGTCCACTGACCACGATTCAGCCATTTCTTTTTAAAGTTTTGATCTCTTTTTTTTTCCAAGAAAGTAAAAAACAGATGCTACCGCGTTGGCTGTTGTCTACTGGTTATTTAAATCTAGCGGGTTTAGTGTCTCGTGTCGCAAATCCAATGACGCTGGTAGTGACGATTCTGTCTGACCAATCAGTGATCTGCAGTGTTTTTACGTCACATTTTAGTACCGGAACGGTACGCTTGGAACCTCAGCAGACCAGGTACCATTTAAAGCGAGCCGAACCGAACCGTACCGTACCGTACCATGCAGTGGAAAAGCACCATATCTGTAGCCTACTTCCGGGGTTCTTCCCACCGGAGCCTCGCTTTCGATTTCAAAATGGCGGCTGCGTGAAATCAGCGTATATCGGAGTTCACAGCACAACTATAACTAACGACGCAGAGGAAAGATATCATTTTCCAGCTGATGAACAATAAACACTGACAGCCAATCAGAATCCATCCTGCTTCATCGATTTCGATCATTTGTGTGTGTGTTCACCTGCGTCTGTGTGCGTGTGTGTGTGTGTGTATTCACCTGCGTGTGTGTGTGTGTTCACCTGCGTGTGTGTGTGTGTGTGTGTGTTCACCTGCGTCTGTGTGTGTGTGTGTTCACCTGCGTCTGAGTGCGTGTGTGTTTGTGTGTGTTCACCTGCGTCTGTGTGCGTGTGTGTGTGTGTGTGTGTGTGTGTGTGTGTGTGTATTCACCTGCGTGTGTGTGTGTTCACCTGCGTGTGTGTGTTCACCTGCGTGTGTGTGTGTGTGTGTGTTCACCTGCATGTGTGTGTGTGTGTGTGCACCTGCGTGTGTGTGTGTGTGTGTGTGTGCACCTGCGTGTGTGTGTGTGTGTGTGCACCTGCATGTGTGCGTGTGTGTGTGTGTGTGTGCACCTGCGTGTGTGTGTGTGTGTGCACCTGCGTGTGTGTGTGTGTGTGCACCTGCGTGTGTGTGTGTGTGTCTGTGCACCTGTGTGTGTGTGTGTGTGTGCACCTGCGTGTGTGTGTGTGTGTGCACCTGCGTGTGTGTGTGTGCACCTGCATGTGTGCGTGCGTGTGTGTGTGTGTGTGCACCTGCGTGTGTGTGTGTGTGTGTGTGCACCTGCGTGTGTGTGTGTGTCTGTGCACCTGTGTGTGTGTGTGTGTGTGCACCTGCGTGTGTGTGTGTGTGTGCACCTGCGTGTGTGTGTGTGCACCTGCATGTGTGCGTGTGTGTGTGTGTGTGTGTGTGCACCTGCGTGTGTGTGTGTGTGTGCACCTGCGTGTGACGCTGCTGTTGTGCTCCAGGATCTCCGGATGCGTTTCGTCTGGACTCTGCAAGCTTCTGATCTCTGAAGATCTTCTCAACAACATGCTGTGCTTGGGCTTGACTGAGACTCCGCTGATCTCCAGTTGATATCTGAAGCACACACACACACACACACCTGTCTAAACATGCCTCAGTGTGATGCAATCATCCACAACCTGACACAGGAAAAGTGCTGATTTATGTTTCTGGAGGAAGAGTTTATGCTTGTCACGACATAACACACAATTAAATTGAAAGTGAAATGCTGAAAACACTTTCACAGACGATGTTTGGATGCTTTCTGTGAACAAGTTCACTTAATGTGAATCAAACAATCAACAGAAACCCTTTCATATTAATATTAATCATTTCAGATGATGCATGTGTCTAGATGTTTTGAAAAGTTAAATTTTTTTCAGATTTTTATGCATTTTCACCAGATTATTTCAGTTCAGTCATTATACTATTAATGTTACTAATCGCATACAAATAATATAGTTTATTATTGTGTCTGAAATAAGTCTTTTGTCACTGAATTCAGAAGCTTTAAATAAATTCAGAAGTTCATAATGTGTCCATCTGAGTTTATAAAGCAAAGCTTGACGATGAGCAACAGCTGTGTTTCAGAAGCCAAAGTTAATCATAATTCATATTTACCATCAGAGATGAAACAGTGGCGGCGATCAAACAAACTTATTAGTAGAAGGAAATGAAAGGCCAAACGTTATCTCAGATGACCGTCTCCGGAGAAACTGACAACATCTTCAGCTCGACACTACAGCACCGCCGCTCGAGCCTCGTCAGTCATACGTGCAGATTACGCTGAAGACACTGACACTGGTTGAACTGGTTTCTGCTCTGATCCAGTCTAATGCGCCTCTATGGAAACCCGATTAACACGTCTGCGTTCACTCATGCGAACAACACGAACACGCATCAACTGCGGTTAAAACACCTTTAACTGCAACTTTTAATAAATGATCGGAATATTAATGTTTACAATTATTTACAGAATCATAAAAATCTGTTTTAGAGACATGTGGTACACAAATAAGAAATAGGTATGAAGATAATTAGTTTAAATCTTTATGTTCGTTTAATTGTCACTACTAAAACTCTTCAGCAAATGATCAGTGAAGAAGTTTTACATGCAGAACATGTTGAACATCAACTTCAGAAGGTCAATATTATACCATAAGCTTGTTCTGGGATTTGAGCCTCTTAATAATAATAATAATAAACACCAAATGCACCCTATTCATGGAAAACAAAATGGTGTTGCTCCTCAAATCAGCAGCTTTGACCCAGAACATCATGCGTGTGAATTCCTGAATGCTGAACTGCTGACAGCGACACTAGACTTTGGCTTAATGTGGCGTGTGAAGGTGAACTGTAGCCAGAGGGCTCGTCTTTTACTGCGGTAATGATTTCACTGTGATAGAAATGCACACAGACTGGTTGAGTTTGTAAAAGCACTCATTCTTCTGTCTGTGTAAAGCACTATCAGTGACTGCAATAGCGTATATACACGTATTTAAACACATGACATTGGAATAATTAACATTTTTTATGTTTGCGAAAGTCTCTTCTGCTCACCAAGGCTGCATTTATTTGAAAAAAATACAGTTAAAAACAGTGACATAATATTATAATTTAAAAGAAATGCAAAGTTCTGTCATGAAACTCTAGATGGCACAGGCTGACAGGTATTTAACCCAGTCTGCTTGCAGCCACGTCACTCTCAGCTGATTGGTTCCCACTGTATCAGTAGCCAATGAGCTTGCTGCTCAACTTTCAAATACTTAGCTATCGTTAGCGCTTTCAGAAACCCTCCACCTTCCCCAGCTCCACCTGTATAGATCTGCTACAGGGTAATTCATATATACTTGTACAGTAGCAGCATGTCTTGTTTGCTCACAGCAGCGTGTCGTGAATTTGTTGGCAGTAGCAAGTTTCGTACTTTATCAGCAGCACCAGCAATAATCAATACTCAAAGCGCTTATATGTAAAGCACTTTGAGTGCCAAGAAAAGAGCTATATAAATGTAATGAATTGTTATTATTAAGCAGCAGCAGCAGAACCTATAATCGAAAGCAGGAGCAGAATCTATAGTCAACAGCAGCAGCATACTCTATAATCAACAGCAGCAGCAGAATCTATAATCAAGAGCACCAGCATACTTTACAATCAACAGCAGCAGCAGAATCTATAATCAACAGCACCAGCATACTTTATAATCAACAGCAGCAGCAGAATCTATGATCAACAGCAGCAGCAGAATATATAATCAACAGCAGCAGCAGAATCTATAATCAACAGCACCAGCATACTTTATAATCAACAGCAGCAGCAGCAGTATCTATGATCAACAGCAGCAGCAGAATCTATAATCAGCAGCAGCAGCAGCAGCAGAATCTATAATCAACAGCAGCAGCAGAAAAATCAATAATCAGCAGCAGCAGAATCTATAATCAGCAGCAGCAGAATCTATAATCAACAGCAGCAGCAGAATATATAATCAACAGCAGCAGCAGCAGAATCTATAATCAACAGCAGCAGCAGATTCTATAATCAAGAGCAGCAGCAGAGTCTATAATCAACAGCAGCAGCAGCAGAATCTATAATCAACAGCAGCAGCAGATTCTATAATCAAGAGCAGCAGCAGAATCTATAATCAACAGCAGCAGCAGCAGAATCTATAATCAACAGCAGCAGCAGATTCTATAATCAAGAGCAGCAGCAGAATCTATAATCAACAGCAGCAGCAGAATATATAATCAACAGCAGCAGCAGATTCTATAATCAAGAGCAGCAGCAGAATATATAATCAACAGCAGCAGCAGCAGAATCTATAATCAACAGCAGCAGCAGATTCTATAATCAAGAGCAGCAGCAGAATCTATAATCAACAGCAGCAGCAGAATATATAATCAACAGCAGCAGCAGCAGCAGAATCTATAATCAACAGCAGCAGCAGAATCTATAATCAACAGCAGCAGCAGAATCTATAATCAACAGCAGCAGCAGAATCTATAATCAACAGCAGCAGCAGCAGAATCTATAATCAACAGCAGCAGCAGATTCTATAATCAAGAGCAGCAGCAGAATCTATAATCAACAGCAGCAGCAGAATATATAATCAACAGCAGCAGCAGCAGAATCTATAATCAACAGCAGCAGCAGATTCTATAATCAAGAGCAGCAGCAGAATCTATAATCAACAGCAGCAGCAGAATCTATAATCAACAGCAGCAGCAGAATCTATAATCAACAGCAGCAGCAGAATCTATAATCAACAGCAGCAGCAGATTCTATAATCAAGAGCAGCAGCAGAATCTATAATCAACAGCAGCAGCAGAATCTATAATCAACAGCAGCAGCAGCAGAATCTATAATCAACAGCAGCAGCAGAATCTATAATCAACAGCAGCAGCAGAATCTATAATCAACAGCAGCAGCAGAATCTATAATCAACAGCAGCAGCAGATTCTATAATCAAGAGCAGCAGCAGAATCTATAATCAAGAGCAGCAGCAGAATCTATAATCAACAGCAGCAGCAGATTCTATAATCAAGAGCAGCAGCAGAATCTATAATCAACAGCAGCAGCAGATTCTATAATCAACAGCAGCAGCAGCAGAATCTATAATCAACAGCAGCAGCAGAATCTATAATCAACAGCAGCAGCAGAATCTATAATCAACAGCAGCAGCAGAATCTATAATCAACAGCAGCAGCAGATTCTATAATCAAGAGCAGCAGCAGAATCTATAATCAACAGCAGCAGCAGAATCTATAATCAACAGCAGCAGCAGAATCTATAATCAACAGCAGCAGCAGAATCTATAATCAACAGCAGAAGCAGAATCTATAATCAACAGCAGCAGCACCCTTACGAAACAAAAATATATTGCAATATACTAGAATTTATATTGCAATACATTAGAAAATATATTTCAATATATCAGAAACTGCCTCATATATTTGAAAATATATAACAATATATGGATGGACAACCTATTGCTATATATTGATTCATATATTAAAATACATTGATATACAAACAAAACTGTATTACATTATTGCATGTATGTTTATTGAAACAAAGTATTTTTTTTATGAGTTAAGTAAGCTCATGCATAGGTTTACAGAAAGGTTGATTAACAAAAATCCAAATCAAATTTTTGCATGACATTCATTACACTCACCGGCCACTTTATTAGGTACCCCATGCTAGTAACGGGTTGGACCCCCTTTTGCCTTCAGAACTGCCTCAATTCTTCGTGGCATAGATTCAACAAGGTGCTGGAAGCATTCCTCAGGGAGTTTGGTCCATATTGACATGATGGCATCACACAGTTGCCGCAGATTTGTCGGCTGCACATCCATGATGCGAATCTCCCGTTCCACCACATCCCAAAGATGCTCTATTGGGTTGAGATCTGGTGACTGTGGAGGCCATTTTAGTACAGTGAACTCATTGTCATGTTCAAGAAACCAATTTGAAATGATTAGAGCTTTGTGACATGGTGGAAGTAGCCATCAGAGGATGGGTACATGGTGGCCATAAAGGGATGGACATGGTCAGAAACAATGCTCAGGTAGGCCGTGGCATTTAAACGATGCCCAATTGGCACTAAGGGGCCTAAAGTGTGCCAGGAAAACATCCCCCACACCATTACACCACCACCACCAGCCTGCACAGTGGTAACAAGGCATGATGGATCCATGTTCTCATTCTGTTTACGCCAAATTCTGACTCTAACATCTGAATGTCTCAACAGAAATCGAGACTCATCAGACCAGGCAACATTTTTCCAGTCTTCAACTGTTCAATTTTGGTGAGCTCTTGCAAATTGTAGCCTCTTTTTCCTATTTGTAGTGGAGATGAGTGGTACCCGGTGGAGTCTTCTGCTGTTGTAGCCCATCCGCCTCAAGGTTGTGCGTGTTGTGGCTTCACAAATGCTTTGCTGCATACCTCGGTTGTAACGAGTGGTTATTTCAGTCACTGTTGCCCTTCTATCAGCTCGAACCAGTCTGGCCATTCTCCTCTGACCTCTGGCATCAACAAGGCATTTCCGCCCACAGAACTGCCGCTCACTGGATGTTTTTTCTTATTCGGACCATTCTCTGTAAACCCTAGAGATGGTTGTGCATGAAAATCCCAGTAGATTAGCAGTTTCTGAAATACTCAGACCAGCCCTTCTGGCACCAACAATCATGCCACGTTCAAAGTCACTCAAATCACCTTTCTTCCCCATACTGATGCTCGGTTTGAACTGCAGGAGATTGTCTTGACCATGTCTACATGCCTAAATGCACGTAGTTGCCGCCATGTGATTGGCTGCTTAGAAATTAAGTGTTAACGAGCAGTTGGACAGGTGTACCTAATAAAGTGGCCGGTGAGTGTATATTTTACATTATATAGCCATATGGATGGACCATATATGGCTATGTATTGATTCATATATTGTAAAATGTAGATGAGAGTATAAATTAAATTATCATTAACAGCAACAATTACAACATTTTTTAGTCCACTTTTTATTCCCCCACATGGTAAATTATTGTATACAATATATAATATGATAATTATATATAATATATTATGTAATATAAATCAATATATTTTTCAACATATTTAAGACATGTTTGCATATATATCTGATTATATTATCTGGTACATTGAGGTATATTAGCTCATATAATTTTACATATATATTTTCACATATATACAATGCCTCTTCCAATATATAATTTCATATAATATGGGACATATTTCAATATACCTAACAATATATTAAATAGTATAATAATATGTATTTATTCAATATATGAAAACGGCAATAATTGCAGTATTGTCCCATATATTGCAATATATTATTGCATATATATAATATATTATTATATAATATATCATATGATATATTACAATGTAAATTTCACAATATATGGAGACACATGAAATATATTGTCACATAATATATTGAGAAATATATTTTTGTTGCGTAAGGGCATACTTTATAATCAACAGCAGCAGCAGAATCTATGATCAACAGCAGCAGCAGCAGAATTTATAATCAACAGCAGCATACTCTATAATCAACAGCAGCAGCAGAATCTATAATCAATAGCAGCAGCAAAATCTATAATCAACAGCAGCATACTCTATAATCAACAGCAGCAGCAGAATCTATAATCAACAGCAGCAGCAGAATATATAATCAACAGCAGCAGCAGAATCTATAATCAACAGCAGCAGCAGAATATATAATCAACAGCAGCAGCAGAATCTATAATTAACAGCAGCAGCAGAATCTATAATCAACAGCAGAAGCAGAATATATAATCAACAGCAGCAGCAGAATATATAATCAACAGCAGCAGCAGAATCTATAATCAACAGCAGCAGCAAAATCTATAATCAACAGCAGCATACTCTATAATCAACAGCAGCAGCAGAATCTATAGTCAACAGCCGCAGCAGAATATATAATCAACAGCAGCAGCAGAATCTATAATCATCATCAGCAGCAGAATCTATAATCAGCAGCAGCAGAATCTATAATCAGCAGCAGCATAATCTATAATCATCAGCAGCAGCAGCAGAATCTATAATCAGCAGCAGCAGAGTCTATAAGCAGCAGCAGCAGCAACAGAATCTATGATCATCATCAGCAGCAGAATATATAGTCAACAGCAGCAGCAGCAGAATCTATAATCAACATCAGCAGCAGAATATATAATCAAAAGCAGCAGCAGAATATATAATCAACAGCAGCAGCAGATCTATAATCAACAGCAGCAGCCGAATCTATAATCAAAAGCAGCAGCAGAATCTATGATCAACAGCAGCAGCAGAATCTATAATCAACAGCAGCAGAGCCAGAATCTGTAATCAGCAGCAGCAGCAGAATCTATAATCAACAGCAGCAGCAGAATCTATAATCAACAGCAGTAGCAGAATCTATAATCATCAGCAGTAGCAGAATCTATAATCAACAGCAGCAGAAGCAGAATCTATAATTAGCAGCAGCAGCAGAATATATAATCAAAAGCAGCAGCAGAATATATAATCATCATCAGCAGCAGGATCTATAATCAGCAGCAGCAGCAAAATATATAATCAGCAGCAGTAGCAGCAGAATCTATAATCAAAAGCAGCAGCAGAATCTATAATCAAAAGCAGCAGCAGAGTCTATAATCAAAAAGCAGCAGCAGAATCCATAATCAGCAGCAGCAGCAGAAGAATCTACAATCAACAGCAGCTGCAGAATCCAAAATCAAAAGCAGCAGCAGAATCTATAATCAGCAGCAGCAGCAGCAGAATCTATAATCAGCAGCAGCAGCAGAATCCAAAATCAACAGCAGCAGCAGAATCTAAAATCAAATGCAGCAGCAGAATCTATAATCAGCAGCAGCAGCAGCAGATTCTATAATCAGCAGCAGCAGCAGAATCTATAATCAACAGCAGCAGCAGAATCTAAAATCAAAAGCAGCAGCAGAATCTAGAATCAGCAGCAGCAGCAGAATCTATAATAATCAGCAGCAGCAGAATCTATAATCAACAGCAGCAGCAGAATCTATAATCAACAGCAGCAGCAGAATATATAATCAACAGCAGCAGCAGAATCTAAAATCAAAAGCAGCAGCAGAATCTAGAATCAGCAGCAGCAGCAGAATCTATAATAATCAGCAGCAGCAGAATCTATAATCAACAGCAGCAGCAGAATCTATAATCAACAGCAGCAGCAGAATATATAATCAACAGCAGCAGCAGAATCTATAATCATCATCAGCAGAATCTATAATCAGCAGCAGCAACAGAATCTATAATAATCAGCAGCAGCAGAATATATAATCAACAGCAGCAGCAGAATCTATAATCAACAGCAGCAGCAGAATCTATAATCATCATCAGCATAATCTATAATCAGCAGCAGCATAATCTATAATCATCATCAGCAGCAGAATCTATAATCAAAAGCAGCAGCAGAATCTATAATCAGCAGCAGCAGCATAATCTATAATCAGCAGCAGTAGCAATAGAATCTATAATCAACAGCAGCAGCAGCAGAATATATAATCAACAGCAGCAGCAGAATCTATAATCAGCAGCAGTAGCAATAGAATCTATAATCAGCAGCAGCAGAATCTATAATCATCATCATCATCAGCAGCAGCAGCAGCAGCAGCAGCAATAACAGCAGTTTAGCAGATCTATTCCACCAAGACCAAACACATCAACAGTCATATTCATTACTATGCCAAACAAACACTCTGAGAGTTGTCATGACAGAACTGACAGAACTGTTGAACAAGTACAACACATTTCTCCCAAACACTTGTTGTTTAGCATAGTAGGTTATACATACCACATAATATTAGAATAGGTACCCCTTAGTTTCAAAATACTTACAATATAAATCATTTGTAATGACCCAGGTTGTTACCCCTTTATCCCCTAAATTTAGCATATTGTTCCCTTATAGCTACATACTGTATTGGTACACTATTATTACGAAAGGGTACGCTGTAAATTTGCTTTACTTACACTGTACACTCCGGCTGCACATCTAAAGCGTTACCAAACTGTTTTGTATGTGAATATATTGTAAATATAATTCATTCCTGTGTTCCTAACTGAATTTTCAGCATTTTGCTGCATAAATATTCTGTAACGTTATAAATGTCTTTACTGTGACTTTTGAACAATTTAATGCAGCCTTGTGACATGAAAATAATAATTTCTTTGAAAGAAAATTACTGTCCCCAAACTTTTGAATAGTAGAGTAAATACAGTATATTTATTCATATATAGTATATATATATATATATATATATAATATATATATATGTGTGTGTGTGTGTGTGTGTGTGTGTAACAGGAAACATACTTAAAAGGTTCTCTCAAAGTTATGAACAAACTTTCTTCAAGTGACGTTAATAAAATATTTGTTCAAAGTTATCTGGTCTTTAATAATGTTCTCAAAACATTAGCACAAATTTTTTTTTTTTTTTTTAGAAACATTTTAGTTAATTTTTAAATGTTACCACTTGTTCAGAGAACATTCAATAGTAAAATTCCCATAATGTTTGCAAAATTCAAATCTAATCAAATGGAATGTTTCCTTAACATTTATACAACCAAGAAAAAGGTTTTATGTTATTATGTAATGTTGTAGAGGAACAATCCAGAAGATTAGAAGATTTACCCTCTTCAAGAGTCCCTATAAACTCATCCAGACACACACACTCACCCTGAGCTGTCCAGGGAAAATTTCCTGTTTGCTTTTTTACTTCCCATCACGCGTGAGATCCAGACGTGTTTCCACTGAGCGTCGGCCTGCAGATCTGTGCATTATATCCATCAGTCAGATCTCATTGCAGATAGTAGAAACTGTGACCACGCCCTCCTGACTGAGCCACGCCCACCAGACACAGAGCCACACCCACCTGACAGAGCCACGCCCACTTCAAGACTCAGCCACACCCCGCCAACCGTCAAGTCAAGTACCCTTCATTTATACAGCACTTCAACAATATATATTGGGGTGGTGATGGCGCAGTGGATAAGACACATGGCTTTGGTGTGAGAGACCCGAGTTCGAATCCACTGTGAGACACCAATGTGTCCCTGAGCAAGACACTTAACCACTAGTTGCTCCAGAGGCGTGCGACCGCTGACATGTATAGCAATTGTAAGTCGCTTTGGATAAAAGCATCAGCTAAATGAATAAATGTAAATATATGTTTCACAGCAGCTTTATGGAGATTACAGTAACAGAGATTGTTTAGGCTTTACAGCAGCTCTAGAATAAAGTTATTGTCCAGCTAAAGTTAGTTTTGATTGATTCACTTCCGTTGTAAAGATTACTTGTCTGGCAGCGTAATACAGAATTATTAGTTGTTTCCACAGATCTGTGTGAACTGGAATCTGTAGAGAGGAGAAGGGAAAGCGGTGGCTGTGTCTGAAACATGGAAAATCTTGGCATCTCAGGCAGTTTTGGATTAAAACTTTGTTTTGTTACATGTCAGTGTTTCTTGATCATTAAAAGTGATGTTAACCGGAACCTTCATATAAAACACAGTCTGAATGAGCGGCACTGTTTCAGATGACACCCATGTGGGTTGGTTTGCCCCGCCCACCGAGCCCCCGAGGGCCCGCCCACTGAGGCCACGCCCACCAGCCCACTGAGGCCCCGCCCACTGGATCAGTATGTTCTTCTAAAGCACATGACCGGGGCGCAGCTGCATGGATCAGGTGTCACACAAACACAAACTCATCAGGTCTGGATAAAGCAGATGCTATCAGACACACGAGAGACGATGATGAAACAATGATCTCTCAGGAATTCACAGTCACTGTAGAAGAAGAACGAGAAAGTACATGAGACTCTACAGGAATACATGACAAACACACTTATGAATTCATTAATTTTATGTTTTCATTCTTTCAGCTGGTCCATCAGATGACATTAATATTATTATCATTTTTCCACCAGCCACACTGACAGGTTTGTGGGATATCAGGGACACAACCGTCCCAAATTCAGATACAAATACCAATCAGATACAGGTACGTTAGGAGACAGGAAGTTACACAGATACAAACAGGATGTTCCTCTACATATGTCAGAATTACTTCATGTTCCAATGAGGACAATTATCACACACACACACACACACACACACACACACACACACGCACGCACACAGACAGACAGACAGACAGACAGACAGACACACACAGACACAGACACACACACACACACACACACACACACACTTACAGATGTCATATCAATCACAAGTTCAGTATGAAGTACCACAAGGCTCAGTACTAGGACCGTTGCTGTTTACTCTGTACATTACACACACACACACACACACACACACACACACACACACACACACACACACTAGAAAACTAAACTAGAGGTATTTCGCATTTCATGGAAGGAGAGCTCGACTGCATACAGAGAGGCCTTAAAAGCTGCTAGATCTGCTTATTTTCAACCCTATTAGAAGAAAATAAACACAACCCTAGGTATTTATTCGAAACAGTGGCTAAACTAACAAAAAATAAAGCTTCAACTCCGGAAGTGTCCAAGCAACACAGCAGTAATGACTTTATGAACTTCTTTACTTACAAGATTGATAATATTAGAGAGAAAATTATAACTATGCAACCGTCTACTACAGTATCGCATCAGGGAGTGCATTGTAGTCTCCCTGAGGAAAAACTCTGTTCATTCGTTGCTATAGGAGAGGAAGAATTGTCTAAACTCGTTAAATCATCTAAATCGACAACATGTATGTTAGACCCTATACCGACTAAGCTACTGAAAGAGATGCTTAGTTCCAGAGGTCATAGATCCTCTTCCTAATATCACAATGATTTCCCTCGTGTGTTAATATTTTTCCTTGTAATTATGTATGGTTTGCAAAAATGGGAACTGCTGCGTCTGTGTATGAGAGAGGCAAAGTGTATGCTGTTGTGCCCTTAAAATAGCATCTGAATTACGCGCCACTGACTTTAGACTTTTCCTGGTTTGTGGCGGAATTGTTTTCTGGAACTGCAAAACAACACCAGGGAACATTTGCGCCGGGACACGCCTCCTCTTTCCGCTGAACCGCCCCGGGAGCGCAAGTTCATTCCCTGATTTACCAACGTGCGTCTGTGGAGGGAAGAGTCCGCTGTGCGTCGGGAGCAAGATGGGAATGATACATGCTTCGGTCGGTGTACAAAGTCAATTGCGCTGGGTGCAAGATAGCGCCCTTAATATTCATATAAAAGGCCACATCTGGCCCACACACAGCAAGCCACAACTCCCACTAAAACCAGCCTGATGTGTGTGGCCCATGTGGCCTTTTCCGTTGCCAGAACTGAGGCCCGGATATGTATGCTATCTGGGCGGTGTCACACACACACTTACAAACCTGGAGGAACTCGAACATGATCATCACTGGTCGTGTGAATGCTGTGAATGCCAAACCAGTGTGTGTGTGATAATGTGTTCCTCATGATGATTTTCAGTTCTCATTGTGTTCAACACACACATTATGAGTTCAACTGGTTTGTCAGACGGATGGCTGAGTCACGCTGAACACAATATGATCATAATTACAGGTTTTAACTGTAATACATGATGTGCTTCCTCAGTGTTTCTGTCCTGTTTTCCAGCACTAATATATAAAGATTCTTAAATCAAGACACATTTACTGGAGAAGAAGCAAAATGACTGAAGATATTAAGTAAAAAAATTTGTCAAAATGACGTTTTTGGTTAAAACAAGAACAAATATCTGCCAGTGGAGTCAGATAAATAATCTTAATTTAAAGGAAAACAATAAGTTTCTGAAACATGGTCTTTAGTCTTTAGTCTTTATTGTCCTATAAGGATATTCTTTTTCACACGTCATTGTTACATTCCATGCAGGATGTACACAGCCTCATACATATAACGTATAACATATAACATATAACACCCCCCAATGGGTAGTGTCACGGGAAGGTGGTTGTTATCTGAGAAAAGGGTTCTATGTAGAACATTACAAGATTCCATCAGGACCTTCACATACAGACACTTTCAGGGGTTCTTAATCTGAAGTACAGTTTATGACTTTAACAGCTAGAAAAACATTTAATAACCTGTTAAACAGGAACGTATTATGCAGTCATGTAAGACATTTCTTCTCATATAGAACCTTTATAAGCATTATTTAAAATAGAGTCAAGAGTTCTATATTGAACCTTTTCTAGTTCGCATATGATTAATATGACATCATATTATTTAAATGGCGTTTTCATGGCACATAAAGTTCAACAACATGAACTTTCACATGGTCTGTTTTTATCTTGTGAACAGGAATCCTTGAAGATCTGGAGATTTCAGTGAGCCGTCTGAACCGGATCGGTTACAGAACCAGCAACAGCAGGTTTAAGATGAGCATGTGAGATCAGTGCTGGGATTAAACACTCGTCTGCCACACGTGTATGTGTGTGTGTGTGTGTGTGATGACGCTCACAATCACAATAATGATAGTTCATATCTGGAGGCTTTTCAGCTGATGATCTCAACATACATCTCAATATCAATATACTGGCGCCGTTGTACTGTGGCTGCCGTCGCATCATCCAAGTGGAGCTGCACACTGGTGCTGGTTGAGGAGAGAACCCCTGACATGATTGTAAAGCGCTTTGGGTGTACAGTAGTACATATGAAAGCGCTATATAAATGCCTCATTCATTCATTTATTCATTCAATCAATCAATCAATCATTCATTCATTATCTGTGTAAAGTGTGCATTTACTGAATGAGCACTGTGCCACTGTTCATCCGACTGTTTTTACTGCTTTTACAGCCAGCAGCCATATCACCCTGTAGCCCAAGACTGGTTGCCCACTGAAGCTAAGCAGGGCTGAGCCTGGTTAGTACCTGGATGGGAGACCTTCTGAGAAAACCAGGTTGCTGCTGGAAAAGGTGTTAGTGAGGCCAGCAGGGGGCGCTCACCCTGTGGTCTGTGTGGGTCCTAACGCCCCAGTATAGTAATGGGGACACTATACTGTCAAAGAGCACCGTCCTTCGGATGAGATGTTAAACCGAGGTCCTGACTCTCTGTGGTCATTAAAAATCCCAGGATGTCTTTTGAAAGAGTATGTTGTAACCCTGGCATCCATGAGTCTTGTGTGATCTCTTGTGACCTCGTGTGAGTCTTGTGTGACCTCGTGTGATCTTGTGTGATCTCGTGTGAGTCTTGTGTGATCTCGTGTGATCTTGTGTGATCTCGTGTGACCTCGTGTGAGTCTTGTGTGATCTCGTGTGATCTCGTGTGATCTCGTGTGATCTCGTGTGAGTCTTGTGTGATCTCGTGTGAGTCTCGTGTGATCTCGTGTGAGTCTTGTGTGACCTCGTGTGACCTCGTGTGACCTCGTGTGAGTCTCGTGTGACCTCGTGTGAGTCTTGTGTGACCTCGTGTGATCTCGTGTGAGCTCATGTGACCTCGTGTGATCTCGTGTGAGTCTCGTGTGAGTCTTGTGTGATCTCGTGTGACCTCGTGTGAGTCTTGTGTGATCTCGTGTGATTTTGTGTGACCTCGTGTGAGTCTTGTGTGATCTCGTGTGACCTCGTGTGAGTCTTGTGTGATCTCGTGTGATCTCGTGTAATCTCGTGTGATCTCGTGTAATTTCGTGTGACCTCGTGTGATGATGATGATGATGATGATGAATTTTATTTATAATTCACTATACATTTGACATCAAATCTCATAGTGCTTACAAGAAAAAAAATAAAATTAAAATAAAATAAAATAGAAACAAAACAAAACAAAACAATAAGATAA